AAACATATTTATTATTTCTTTTTTCTGCATTTTTACCGCAATAAAAGTTCGAAATAAAATCATCGAATTATCTTGCTTCCTGATTCCTGAACAATTTGTTTTTGTTCACTGACTCTTTTTCCTGCCTGTTTTATAGCTGATGCAATTCCGTTGGGCCTGTTGATAAACTTGCAAAATGTGCAATAAGAACGTTAGTTTTACCGGCTCAAGAAGAGTTAGGGAACAAAAACAAATTGTTCAGGAAGCAAAAGAATTCGATTTTACTTCGAATTGCTTTTATTGAGGTAAAAATGCAGAAAAAAGAAATAATAAAGATGTTTTAATTAAGGCAGTTGGGCACTATGAAACAAAAGAAAATATTTTAGCAACATTAAAGAGGAGGAGAGAAGACAGATATCAAGAATTTTTTATTAGGGCGGATCCAATACGTTAATTTAGTTGAAAAAAAAGCTATCTACCTATCTATGTCAAAACTGGTCCCCAGTTTTTGCCGCTTTTCTTAAAATTTTTCTATTGGAATAATATTTTTTATTTTTGATTATTAAAATGTAAGTTCTTCCGAAAATTTTGCTACCCCGCGCACCTCAAAACGATAAAAAAAATAGATTTTTCATCCCCTCTTGAAAAAGTGGTTTCTTTTTCAGAAATCGTGAGATCTTAGAAATCCTTCAACTTTACGGGCCCAAAAAATTATCTCCTTTTTTATCATAAAACAAGCTATGTTTTCTCAAAATTACAAACCCCTACGACTTTTTTTCGCAAAAATAAGAATAAAAAACGAAGAAAACAGTTTTTCCGGTTTTTCTAGGAAAATTGGGGGTTATGTGAAAATAGTTCAGATACAAAAGTTGTTCATTTTTTTAATCTCTATAACTTTTACATTGAACATTTTCGTCTAAAATTAATAGTTTTGCCACAATTTGCCACACCACCTTCCACCCCTTTTCAACCCCCGGGATTTCACCCGCGGAAAAATTCAGCTGTTTTAATTATTTTTTCCCAATTTCTAATCATTTCACCTGCTTGAAAAACCCGGTTTCGCCGTTTTTGAAAATAAATTATTTTGGAGCTATTTAGCCTGGACTAATTAAAAAGTGGATTTCTTTCATGGCACTCTTATGAAAGGAACCAACCTTTGTCTCACCCCTTATCAAAATTGAGGAAGACGGGAGGGAGAGACACTGGCTTTAGTGTTCATGTACTCTAATGAAAGATCTCAATGAAAGGAATTAATTAATTTATTTATATAATTAATGTCTACCAACCATATACTCCTCCTCCTCGACCCCTTACCGTGATCGGTTATAATTCCTCAAATCTCAAGAGCGGATTGTCAGAGGACGTACTCACAAAGGGCGACTGGGATATCCGGAAAAAATATACCTATTGGTGAAGTGCATATCTTGAAAATGGTACTCATAAAGGCAATAAAATGAATCGTCTGGACTAGACATATCTATTGGTGAAGTCGAAGAAACTATCTTGAAAACGAAGTTGAAAGTTTTATCTGCACAAAATTTGAGCACAATATACCTATTTATTTAGCTTCCTAGCTCGAACTAGGTGGCTATTTATTAGGTCCACGATTTTGTCATGTTACCTACATAAAATTACACTGATACTATGGGTTACTAAAACGATCATCGAGATCATTTCTTATTTTTGGACACTATCGAATTTTAGAAAAATTGGTCCATGTGTGAGCCAAGTTAAAGATCAGAAAGCGACAGTACAGCAGTAGGGACGGACAGGCACATAAAGTGGGCGCAATAGCACATTTTTAGCGCATTTCCACAAACATAAAAAAAATGCGCTATTGTGGCCACTTTGTCCGTCCGTCCGTCCGCTCGTTTTGAGACGCTACTAGTTCTTTATCTACTTTTTTCGCTATTTAGTTCGTTATGGTGTCGAGGCTTGCACCAAGGAAGGAATTTTTTCTGTGTTTATTGCTAAAAAAGTTATTGTAAAAAAACCAACAAACCGTTTTTTACATGTTCCATAATTTTACACTTTTGCCGTTTATGAACACTATCCTAGAGATCGTTTATAATTTTGTATTGCTGTCTGTCGTCTGTTCCTTTGTCTGTGTGTCCCTCTATCTGTCCGTGTGAACGATAACTTTGTTTAGAAATGTCCGATCGCTTTTACATCTCCTATTAACTGAATTGCATGAAATTCAATATGGGCATAGCTTTAGCCATATAATACACAATGCCCAAAGTTGAGTCGAATCGATTCAAAATTCACAGTGCCCTTTTCGCATCTCGACCATTTATAAACCGAATTGCAAACTTTTTTATTTATAAAAGTATTTGAATGAAATTTGATACATAGGCACTTGAAATAAATTAAATTCTAACGCCAATTTCAAAATTTGGTTTTGCGCATGCGCAGTGTCAACTTTTTTATTTATGGAAGAATTTAAACGAAATTGAATACATAGGCACTTGGAATAAAGGAAAATCAAACGCCAGTTTCAAAATTTGGTTTTGCGCATGCACAGTGTCAACTTTTTTATTTATGGAAGCATTTAAATGAAATTTGATACATACGTTTTTGGAATAAAAGAAAATCAAGCGCCAGTTTCAAAATTTTATTTTGCGCATGCACAGTGTCAACTTTTTTTCTATGGAAGCATTTAAGTGAAATTTGATACTTAGGCGCTTGGAACAAAGGAAAATCTAACATTAGTTTCAAAATTTAGGTTTGCGCATGCGTAGTTCCAACTTTCTTATTTAGAAAAGCATTGAAATGAAATTCTTCTTATAGACTGAAATTGATAAGTAGCACATCAAAAATGGATTGCCCATGTGCAACGCTATCTTTCATATTTGTGGTCGGATTTTTACGATTTTAACAGAAGTTGCATCTTACAAATGGGAAATGAATGCAGGTGGAAATGCGCTTTATGTAAATCGTTTACGATTACTTTTTAACTTGTTTATTTTTGTGGAAGGGCGGCTCTAAGGCCTTGGTTCTGCTTATGCGCAATCTATTTTCTGACATACGTTTACAATGTTCTATTAAAATTTTAGAAAATTTGGTCCACAAATAAAAAACTTCAATTTGCGCATGCGCAAACAATTTTTTTTATATATGCGCTCAATTTAGTTTTATAAAGTCCATTCCTTGACATGTGTTTTCAATACGTGCTTTTTTCACTTCTTTCCACCCCCGAGCGGTTTTTTCCGCTCCCGAGCGCATTTTCCGCTCACGAGCACTTTTCCCGAGCGCTCGCTATAAACCGTTCGAGCATTTTTAGGAGTGCTCGGAACTCACAAGCGGTTTCGCTATGCAAAACAACTCAATGCTTGCGAGCATTTTTGAAATAATTAGAGCGCTGGTCGCTCGAGCGGTTTTTTAGAACGCTCGACCCAGCTCTGGGTCTGGGCATGCGCAATTGTTTTACGTGTTTTTAGTCAAGTTATTTTTTGACGTGCATTTTAATTCATTCCTTCCTTCTAAAATTTCAAAAAAATCCGTCCACAAATAAGAAAGTTAGCACTGGGCGTGCATAACCGATTCTTTCACACAATTTGTTTTTATAAAAAGCATCTTAGCGTATAAAATGTATAAGCACAATAAACGGCAAAATTGTAAAACAATGGTACATTGAAAAAAAATAGTTTTTTAGTAATAAACACAGAAAAAATTCCTTCCTCGGTACAAGTCTCAAGACCATAACGAACCAAATGGTCACAATAGGGGATTTTTTAAATTTTTGTGGAAATGCGTTAAAGAAGGAATACATGAGGTACAGCGAATTGCTTTCCACATTTGTTATGCCACACATTGTCACTTTGTGCATGCTTGAATCGCTCAAAAAGATCCCAAGCAATGTTCTAGTACCCAGATAACATCAATTTTTCTTGGAATATTCTCTCAATATACTGAATATTCTTATTCACCTATTTATAAAATATTTAAAGATTATTTATTAAATTAATTATTCTATTAATAATCGATACATAATAATGTGTGGATATTGATAAAACAACTGCCCGTTATTGTAGCAACTTACAAAGCACTCTAAAATAAGCCAAAATCTGCGCTATTGCAAAACGACGGAAACAATTGAACCCAGTACGAATATTGTAGCAACATGTTGATATCATCACAGAGTTCATCCGTTTCAGTGATTTTACAACAGCACAAATTTTCGCGAATATACAAACTATGTTGCAAGTTCATACTGAAAATATTATATATGAGAATATTCTTCTGACGTTTTGGGCATGTTCCAAAAATATTCATCTACTCTTTAAAGGAATATTCCATAAATTCTCCTTAGAATATTAAAAAAAAGGACATTTCAGATTCAGGGAATATTCGCAGAATAACTTGAATGTTGATTTAATATTCCAGGAATATTCTTTAATTATTAAGGAATGTGAGTTTGTTATCTAGAAATGCTGTACCCAACGAAATGAGTTAAAAAAAGTGAATTGACATAAGCAATTCACTACAGCACATACAGGGAGTCTATAAAAGAACTCCGGGGTTTAAAAAATTAATATTTTTTAAACTATAAAAGATAGCAAAATTTGATCAATTCCTTTGAAACAAGCAGCTCAAAGAGTTTTACTCATACGAATTGGGAATGTTTCTCTCAACAGTTGGCAGCGCTGCGGAGCGTTGACCGTGAAATGGCGTAACGGCTGCGGCAGGCAGTCAGTGTCGTCTGGACTAACTAACTAACGGAGCTCACATTGAACTTTACTAAGTTGTTAAAAAATCTTGAAAATGTAAGCTTTCTAATCATATATAAAACATGTATGTACGTTTTTTACTGTATTAAAATATTTTGTCTTAAAACCCCGGAGTTCTTTTATAGATACCCTGTATAAGTTATAGAACCAAACATGAAAAATGTCTAGTAATATATACCCAGAATAATTGAAATAATATTTAATTGTCTTTCACTTACAGTTGGTCGCGTATTATAGGTAAATAGTGTACATTTTAAAAACAATTCTGTTAAAACAAAGGCAGAAAAATATTAAGTAATATATACAGTAACAGACATCAAATATAAAACAATTCAAAGTGTCTGCATTAATATAAAAAAAACATAAAACAACGTAAACATATTTACTAATGGTTCTAAAATGACTGGAAATGACTAAAAACGCCTCGATTTGTCAATAGCACAAATTGATTTTTCCAACATACATAATATTGCCATTACCAAAGAATACTGTTACTCTTTGCCATTAAATAGCAGAATGAACAGGCAGTATTTTGGTGGGAACAGAAATTGGTTTGATATATAACGAAGTAACTTATGTAGCACCGCCAATTAGGATCTTTTATTTACAATTTCTATAGTGAAATGTGAAACAACACTAATAAAATGGACAAGTTAATTCGAAAGAGATCAGTATTGAGAATCAGAAGGTTGATCCGCATAATCGTACAGATAGGCAGAATATCCAGAATTAGCGGTAGTATTAGAACCTCCCCCACCGTCTGTAGGTAACGGGACGGGAAGGGGCCTCGCTGGCCTTCGCGGCCGATAGGAACCTCTGGGGCCTGAATTACTGGGACCACTAGGTTTTAAACGAGGCCTTCCTGGACCACGACGAATCACTGTGCTACTTGTGCCGGGAGAACTGTGATATCCTAAACTTCCGGATGATATAGACGTTGATGGCGAAGATTCGATTGAGCTGAAGGGATCGTTTGTTTCTAAAACAAAATATTGAAGTATTAACAAAATAATAACCGTACAATACCAATGTGCATAGAATTATTAGGTGTAGTTGCGGAGTTGTTGAACCTTCCAAGAGCGGAAACACGCCTTGAACCTCTTGGTCGCCCTCTTTTGGATGAACCGCGCCCTGGAATTTTCGGTTTGACTGTTGTGCCATAAATATTGTAAACTGTATATTCTGAAATCGTAATTAGTGTATTCATTCTACTCTTATAATCATCAAATAAATTACTGTTATTTATAGACGAGTCTCCTTCAACATCTAAAAAGTTAAAATCATTCACATCTTCACCGCCCGCTACGCTAGGAGATTGATCACTGTGTGGGCTACTTGGACCGCTGTCCATTGGTTGTAGCGAATCTTCGATTCCACTTTCTGAACCTTCAATTTTAATTTTCTTTGTTTCTGGGTTCGCCATATGAACAGCCTGAAATTGTTTGTAATTGCATAATCCTTGTTTAAATTTTATCGCTTTATAAATTGTTTATTTAGGTAGGTGTATTTAATTGTAAAACGTGAAACTGCGTGGTAAAATGTAGGGGCATCTAGTAGTTTGTAGTGTTTTTATCGGACCAAATTTAATTAACGCACGTTATCGCCGTTAGAAGATGGAGGTGTTTTACAATGTGTGCGTTATTTTATGCGTCAGTGAGGAGGTGGGACGTGTTCCTTCGAAGCTGGCGTTATCAAGTCTAATTGTGATTGGCGGTATTATCCTCGAAATCCGTCGAAGTGGTGATCCCTTAAATACTGGAATCAACGTAAAAACGAGACTGGTTGCTGCTGCAAGCTGTTAGTTTTCGCGACGGTAAAAAGAGCGCATAAATTTGTTTACGCTAAATCTCGAGATTCAGGAAGTCCTATTGCTTTAATTGAACAGTTCGTTGGTTTCCAAATAAAATGTGTCGAAGTTAAGCAATTTTGATTAAAGATTTAAGTATCGTAAAGTGAAGTTGTAAAATGTGCGAAAAAGTTAGTTAGGAGGTGAGTAAACAAAGCAGTTGTCAGCTTAGTAAAACACTTGCCTTTTATTAAAAGTTTCTACCATCCCACAACCACCGAATGTTTGTTCATTTTACTCATCAAATCAGATTTTGTCATCAAGAACAAGTGAAATTCAAAAGCTGTTAGCGTATGTGAGTTTAATGCGCCTTTATCGCAAATCTTTTACGACCAGATTATTTGAATTATTAAAAAAAAGACTTATTTTTAATTATCGCCCGCCGGTGTGCGAGGTATTATGTTCAAAAAAGCTTTGCAAAGTTTTTTCAGGAATTTTTTCTAACTGTTTCATGTGTGGAATACACTTTTTTCATAGTCAAATCAAAATTGTGTGTTTATTCGAATTCATTGTGCGACCCGGATAGGGTTTTCATGTCAGATTTTTTGGTGCCCAAAGATTTATTTCAAGTATTGGGCAAAATTTGTGTAATAAATTCAATGCAATTGTCGGAAGTTGATCAAGGTCATCAGAATTGGTATTGGAATTTTTCTTTATAGCAGATGCCAGAGGTGCTCGAGGCGAAATGATAAAATTCTAGTTTCAATTTTGATTCGTTTGAGCTAGCTGGAAGGTGTTTTGTGGGTTGCGTTGTGACCGCGTGCTATTGCACACAGCAACAAATAAAAACTGTCTGTCTGTCAGTATGTTTCTTATACCTGCCTAAACCGTTTATACGATTGCGAACAAATTTTGGGGAATGGTTGAACGTATGTCCGGGAAAGTTTCTAATTTAGCAAAATTGCGAAACCCATCCTGGAGCACATTGACGCATAGGGGATACGAAGTTCGCCGGGTATGGTAGTACTAAATAAATGTGCAATCGGTTTTCTGATTACTTTGGGAATATACCGTCACATGCTGCCTTCCTAATCTCGCTAGGCATTTTGTACGTCCTAAGTACTAAATATAACAGCAATGAAGTTGTGTGGTATCTATAAGGATATGCTTGTACTATGTAACGGGTGGTCGCTTTAGAAATATAAGTTTTTTTTCGAATTTATATTGTGGGGTAAACAAACTAGGTCAGTAAATGACCGTTTTGGCGTGTAATTTTTCGCGCCTCGACGGATTTGCTTGAAAATTTGGATTTAGGTTCCTCTTACCCTCTACTTCAAAGGTGAACTGAGCCCAGGGTTGCTTTTACTTGGGCGGTGAATGCCACCCCTTCTCGGGGTTCAAAATAAGTCTGGAAATTGATAAATTCAGTAATTCTATGCAACTTTTGTTCTATAGAGTTTTTTCACTAAGTCAATAGTATTCGAGTTATTTGCGAGTGAAAATGTTCATTTTTCAACAAAAACACCACGTTTTCAGACGGTTTTTCGCAAATAACTCTAAAAGTAAGTATTGTATCGCAAAAAGTATTCTTAGCAAAAATATAGCTTATAAAAAAACAACAAAATGGTCTCTATATGAAGTCTGTAGACCCAGTAGAATCAAAGTTGTAGCTCATGAAAAGTAGGTTCTCATTCGTCAAATTCCAAATCGAGTACTTCAACGTGAAATAACCAAAAAATGAAGCACTTTTCGGGGAAAACTTATGAATACTTTTTTAAAGTGTTTGAAAAAACCTTCCTTTTTGTTTTTAAGAAAAGTTCCTAGCGTCAAAACCAAATGAGTTACACTCAAAGAAAGTCGGTCCTTTTTTTTGGTAAAAAAAAATCGAGGAAATCACCCCCTAATTAGCACCCCAATTGTAATTAAGCGTTACCGCTTACAGTTTAATTATGTATTGTTTATATGATCTGTAAGTTTGACCGGTGCAAAGTGCTTATTTTTGAAAAAATGTAGTTTTGAAGTAAAAAAAATTTTGAAATTTTGAAAAATGTCTTATTTTTCAAAATAACTTCAAAAGTATTAGTGATACGAAAAATTTACAAGAATAAAAAAATGTAGCTTTTGCTTTTCTGAACATTTTGCTTTTTTTTGTTTTTCTGTAAAACAAAAATTGGTTAAGATATGGCTGTTCAAAGTTTGCATACACTCTTCATGAGTGACTAATTCGAGCCCTTTCAACTACAACCCTTTCAAAAATAATAATAGCAAAGAAATCTAACTTTCATGTTACTGTATAATTAAATAATCCCAAATTGCTTGAATTTACAATTATATGATTAATAGGGGTAGTTTCCACCCCTAAAAAATAAACAGCAACCAACGGCACAAGTCCAATTTTTCAGTGGAGGGTAAGAATAACCTAAATCCAAATTTCCATGCAAATCAGTGGAGTCAAAGTATTCTATGACATTGTTTTAATTATAACTATTTTAGAGGTAAGATTTAGGGGTTAAACTGTGATAAAATCATAAGTTATGCTGTTTTATGTTAACTGATATTTATTCACTCCTTTAAAAGATGATTTGAATCAATTACCCGCTTTAATTTACAATTATACGATTTTTTTCTAATAGGGCTAGTTTTTTCTCCTAAAAAATAAAAAGCAATCAGGGGCTCAAGTTCAACTTTGAAGTGGAGGGTAAGTAGAACCTAAATCCAAATTTTCATGCGATTCAGATTAGAGTGTTAGCTTTCGTAGTGTACACACGTACGTTTATCGTAAAATGGAAAATAAAATTGATTTAATATTACTTAAACTGAATGACCTAGATAGCAAAACCGATGTCACGAACAACAATATTGCTTTGTTGTCCTCAACGATCGAGGAATTAAAAAATGAAAACACGTGCCTTCGCCAACAAGTTCATCTGCTGGAGGATAGAATAGATTATCTAGAAAATCAATCCAGAAGGAACAATGTTATTTTTTACAACGTAGAGGAGCATGAAAAAGAAACATGGGAAACTACTGAGTCGAAGGTGCGTCAAATCATTCATAAGGAATATGGGATGCAAATTCATGATACGGAAGTGGAGAGAGCTCATCGATTAGGCCCGAACAATAATACTACAAGACCGATTATTGTTAAATTCAATCACTTCAAAGTCAAGGATATTATAATAAAGCAGGCGTATAAACTGAAAAACACACCGTTCTCCGTATCGCATGACTTTTCGAAATCTGTGCTGCAGAAACGTTCGTTACTAAAACCCTATTTAATTAAATCCAAGGAATTAGGACATCGCGCGCATCTTCAGTACGAAAAGCTGTCCATAAATGGCCGAAAATTTACAATTGAGGATTTACATTCTAAAGGCGTTACTTCACCTAACGACCTTGGCAAACTGTTTACCAAAGTTTCATCCTCATCCAACATAAACGAAATTATCACCAGAAGCAAGTCCGATTCCAAGCGTCTAGAACAATAGGGAGCGGTGAGTACGATCCAACAGTTTACAATCATACACCAAAACATTTAAGCTTTAAAACCAAAAGTGAATGACATTCAAATATATTTAGAAACCTTACACACAAAGAATCAAAACATCGCTGCGATCTGTTTTACGGAGCATTGGATGAAGGATGCCGAGCTTTCTACCGTGGTCATTGAAAACTATTATGTTGCGTGTAGTTTTTGTAGAAACAGTTTCAAAAATGGTGGTGTAGTGATGTTATCGAGGATTGATTATAATTTTAAGGAACTTAAATTTTGTCATATACCATGCTTTGAAAAAGACTTTGAGTACGTAGCAGCCCAGTATGGAAAACTAATCGTTGTCTGTGTTTATCGATCCCCCAGTGGAAACATAAATTTATTTTTTGAATGTTTGTATTCACTTTTAGATAGTATAATATGCTTAAACAGTGACGTTATTTTATGTGGCGATTTTAATATCAATTTACTGGATAATACGACCGATAAGAACGAATTTGTAAACTTGCTAACTTCGTATAATCTGAAAGCTACGATATCTACGCCAACAAGAGTAACGGCTACGACTGCCACATTGATTGATAACGTCTTTACAAACTTATCATCTCACAATTTACTTAATGTTAGCAATGTACATGCTGGCCTTTCTGATCATCATTCACAAATGGTCACTTTAACAGAAAACAAAACTGTTACGTCTACTACCCGAAAAGCTCATAGAAATTTCTCACATAAAAATAAGGTACAGTTTAACAGCCTTATTGGTAAGGTTGATTGGAAAGATCTTCTTTCTGCCAATGACACAAATACTATGGTTGATGCGTTCTACTCAGAATTTAACAAATGTTTTGAAAGGGCTTTTCCTTTGATTACTTGCATCACTACACATATTCAAAGAAATTTGTGGATTACATCAGGAATTAGAACCTCTTCCAAAAACAAAAGATGGCTACTGGAGATGAAGAAATATTCTACGGATGCTAATTTTCTAAACTACGTAACTCGTTATTCAATTATCTTAAAACATATCATTAACGTAGCACGTACTTCGCACTTTCATAACAAGATTTTGAGATCAAGTAACAAAGTAAAAACGACATGGGATGTAATCAATCAACAGTCAAAACAACCCAAGCCGCTTCACGAAAACATTGTTTTGGAAGTCGAGGATGAAACTCTTACTTTCCCTGGCGAGGTGGCCTCGGTCTTCAATAACTTTTTTACAAACATTGCTGTGGGTTTAACAAAAGATATACCAGTTAACATCAGACCACTTTCCTCGAACGGTAACTTATGTAGTTCATTTTTTATTCACCCAGTTAATGTTGATGAAATCGACAACTTAGTTAAGGGTTTAAATAACAACAATTCTGTGGGATATGACAACATTCCGTTATTTTTAGTTAAAGAGAACCGGGAACTGCTAAAGTACCCGTTAACTGAAATTATAAATTCTTCTTTTTCTAATGGAATCTTCCCAACGCGTCTAAAAATTGCTAAGATCATTCCTCTCCACAAAAAAGGTAGTAAAGGAGATTTGAACAATTACAGACCAATTTCACTGCTGTCTGTCATATCAAAAATCTTGGAGAAGGCCATGAAAGCACGGTTACTACGCTATCTTCAATCTCATAACTTAATTGCAAATAATCAATACGGCTTCCAGCAAAATAAGAACACCTCAGTAGCGATTTGGAACAATTCGTTTTAGGCGTTTTTTGTGACCTTTCCAAGGCGTTTGATTGTGTTGACCATAATATCATGTTAGAGAAACTTTCAAACTGCGGCATCAGAGGTATAGCTGCTTCGTGGTTTCAATCTTACCTATGTAATAGGCAACAGTTTACAGAAATCACCACATTATCAGAGAAAGGTATATTTCACAAAATGCACTCCGATAAGAATTTCGTTCAAAGAGGTGTCCCACAAGGCAGCGTGCTGGGTCCCATTTTATTTCTAATTTATATAAATGACTTAATGACTTCATTTCCAGACATAAATTTAACATTGTTTGCGGACGATACTTCTATTGCCTTTCAGGGCACGTGTCTTAATACTCTGCATGATTATGCTGCAAATAAGGTGTCTGAAATACAAAAGTGGATGTACCGTCATAAACTAATTCTCAATTTCGATAAATGCTTTGCGATTTTGTTTAAAACTTCTAAAGCACAACAGTTCGACTTCCATTTAAATGTTGGAAATCAGATAATTAAATCCGTGGATAACACAACATTCTTAGGTGTTACGATAGATGAAAATTTATCGTGGTCATCACATGTCACTAATTTATGTCCAAAACTAGCAAAGGCCGTTTACCAAATCAGGAAGATAAGAGACAGTAGGAGCAGCAACGGCGAAGATTGTATATTACTCTGCATTTGAAAGTTTGCTTGCATATGGGTTAGAATTTTGGGGAAATAGTGTTCATGCTAACGCCGCGTTTAAGTTACAAAAACAAGCAGTTAGAACTTTGCTGTATATAGGCAAACGCGACACTTGCAGAGAAAGATTTAAATCGCTAAATATATTTTCCTTAACGAGCCTTTATATCTATAAAATATCTATTATCATTTTCAAAAACAAACAATCTCTCACTAAATCGTCCGACGTCCATGATTATCCTACAAGGTCAAATACTCAATTAAGACTTCCAAAAGTACACCTATCGCTTTTACAAAATTGCCCTTCCTATATAGGCATCAAAATCTTCAATCACCTGCCTGACTGCATAACATCTAAGCAATCATTAACCAAATTTAAACGCAGCCTGAAATTATGGTTAAAATCGCAGGAATTTTACTCATTAAAAGAGTTCTATAGCTTTCATGATACCAATTCTTAGTTAACATTTCATCATCCATATTATTTCTATTTCTATTCACATTATTAAGGAAAAAAAAATTATTATTTTTTAGTTATTGTATAAACGCTCTATTTTCTTCCCGACACCTGTAATAGGTTTCTTCTGTTTATTTTATAATTTTATTTATACTGTTAGTTAATTGGTTTGTACAGATGTAGGGAATAAATCATTATTATTATTATTATTATTATTATTATTCAGTGGAGACGCGGAAAATTACACAGTATCGCCGTATCCCACGTTCATTTACTGGCCTAAACAGGAAATTTACAAATGTACCGCTTTATAGCGAACAGAAACAAACGTATGTCGGGAAATATAAGGCGATAACAACGCCTATAGCTAGTATTGGTACAATCCTAAAGGAAAACTGAATGCACATTTATTTAGTACTGAAGTACTTCTGTTTATATCCTGGTTACCAAGATCACGCGTACTGTCATAATTTTTATGTGGTGAATAAAACCAAAACTTTACAATGACGACAATTTTGAGGTAACATCGTATCCCCAAGATTTCTCACAGTGACCCTGTATAAAATTGGTAAAATACCTTGTACGACGCCATTTGCTTCCGCTTCCTTTCTTGTTCGCGCATATCTTCCAATAGTTTACGTTCTTCTGTACGTTGACGATCTAAATATAAAAAAGAAGTAACAAACTTGAAAACAAATGAAGCTACATACATTTTTGCTCAATCTCTTCATCGTCCAGTAAAAGAGATACTACTTCTTTGGGTTTCAAAGTGTCGGGTTTGAAATTTCCTCCGCTTATTACCAATTTTTGGATCTGCAAACTGTATTAACATCACAATAACATGAAAGAATATACTCATACCTCGCTCTTCTCTCGAGCTCTTTGTAAGATACGTTCTTCTATTGACCCCTTACAAATTAACCTATACACTGTGACTTGTTTGGTTTGACCTAGTCGATGAGCTCGATCCATCGCTTGCTGATCCACTGTGGGATTCCAATCGCTATCGTAAAATATCACCTAAAAAAACCCGTTACGCAAATTTCGATAGTAATTTTAGATCCTTTACCGTATCTGCAGCAGTGAGATTAATTCCGAGACCCCCCGCTCTGGTTGACAACAAAAATACAAATATATCTGCTCGAGCTTGAAAATCGGCAACCATATCTCTTCTTTCGGATATCTTAGAGGAACCGTCCAAACGCATAAACTTGTGGTGCCTGTGCCACATGTACTCCTAAAAACATTTTGTGAAAACTTACGACTTAAAATGAATTCTTAATTAAATCTATGCACAACTGTTAACAAAACAATTACCTCAAGTAAATCGATCATCCTTGTCATTTGAGAATAAATGAGCACTCGATGACCATCTTCCTTTAACTTCTTGAGCAATGAATCTAATACTGATAATTTTCCAGAATCCGTCACCAAAGTTTCTTTATCTGGTAAGAGAAGCAGAATTATTTTAAGCGTGTGTGTTGGTACTAACATTCACTTTCTACACTACAGACAAACAGAAATACAAAAGAAAGTGGCAACATAGCAATCAGATATGTAGATACAGGTAAGAAGACGAGAGTGGGTTACACGCAGATGACAATTGAAATTCTGCAGAAGGAGCCAAATGAATATGAATGAATAGTGGAAATGCACCATCTCTCGCCTTCGGTATCTGTGCACTACTAATTTAATTTTGATTACTGTGAACTAAAAGTTCAGTACACAGATTACATATCGCTCGGCTCGTCTAATAGTGGTCGCCTGTGCGCAAATCTAATGTAGGTCTATATGGCAGTTTTTTTATCAGTTTTTATTTCATAGTTCTTTTTTGCCGCTAGAGGCCATCTTAATGTACTTTTCTGTATTTTCCATCTCGATTGATTTTCTCAAGTTTTCAATTGCGCGCTGGTTCCTTTAGAGAAGATTATGCTATCATGGTGGTTACCCATGGAAAAAATGTAATAGGCCTTTACTATTCCGTCATTACCTGAAAAGGGATCTTTGTTCGAAATTTGAAATTCGTCATTACACCAATGCGAGATTTCACACACCACCGACGCCAAGTACTTCAGTAAAAGAGGCGTTATTTTGATGTTCAAAGATCCTCAGATACCACATTTCGTTGATATTGTATTCGCCCCATCTTGAGGTAGGAATTAAAAAAAAAATTAAAGAATTGGAAAGAGCATATCCAGTAATCTAAATAAAGCTGTTGCTCTATTCTTCTACGTGATTACTGAGAAAAAATTAAAGAAACACAAATTTTAGAACTTTTGAAGACTATTGTTTCCAAACGAAACATTTTCGGACCCTTGGTTTGTTTCGTTTTATGTCTCTATATCAATCTATGGAGAGTATACACTAAAAATTGTTTTATAAGCGGAGGTGCCGTACATCATCAGTGGAAACCTCTGCAAATCCTCACTAATTCTGCACCTGCCTTAATTACATAATGGACAGGTATCACATATTGCAAATATACAACTTTTGATACACACCACCAGTTTGTGTAGTGTAGAAAGTCAATGACACAAATTTCTCACCTGGAATTAAAATATTTGACCATCCGTAGCGAGGCCTAATAGAGCCGAATAAATCGACAGACGGCTGGGCGATATAGTAGCCGCTATTTTTTATTTCGGTACGCGTAGCCGTGGACCAATAGTATTTGCAAGCCGGCAACGAGTAGTCATCTATGAAACGATTCCAATCCCACATCGCACGCCGTGAATAACAGTACAGCGTCGGAAGGCTTGTATGTATCTACAATCTACAGTTGAAACTAAAGTACTAACATTATGAGGTGCAATACTTTAGGTAATAACGCGAATAAAAATCCAGGTAATGCGGTCGGTTCGCATTCGAGAACTTGAGGGCGTCGGTTTTCGCATGGCAGTTCTTTTTTCTGAAACAAAAGTATAAAATTTCCGGTAAGCCGCTGCCTTAGAAACTTACACAATCATTAACAACGTCAATCACAGATTCGCTTTCTTCCGAATGACCCCTTTTAAACCTAATGTTTTTGTGTTCCACAGTTTCGGACATGTAATGATAAGTGTGAGTTGTATGAGTATAAATAACACGTTCACCACAACTTGCAGATGTGAATACTAAATTCTTAAATACTGTACTTAAGGTAATAGCAGGTACCGACATTCGTAGCAGCGGCCTAAACAGTAATAAGTTTGGCTTTACATTGTCGGAAATTGTCGCTCTATGATAGTAATTAATATCGTTCTGCTCCGCATCATAATACGACTGCCACCTATTAAAAAAAAACTTTTACCTTTAACATACAGGTACTTTTAAGCAACAAACCTCTGCAACATACTACCATAGAAAATTCTATATAGATCCTGAGCTGATAACTTCATAAAATTTAAAAAATTAAATATACTATCACTATCTATACAAGACTGCAATATATACAGAGTAGTAAAATGAAAATAACGATAAATGTTCTGAAATTTTGCTTTTCGTGCATTAAAATCGTAAACCAAATAAGGTATGACGTACTCCCTCGGAGCAATATATACAGGTGATTTGGCATTTCGCCTTTCAAACAATTCCGGATGATTGCACACCTGTAAAAGAGGCACAGCATAATCGTTTTGACTAACAATGTAATGTTTACCTTTCGAAATTGCATAACTAAATTCATTAAATTTGAAGTGAAATTTTTATCGACAGGGTGAGAATCGCCTCCTCCAACCGTGTAATGCAGCAGGTCCTCTATGCGAATTTTTTGCTTCAACGCCATGTACAATAGTTTCTGTCGCATTGTCAACGGGCAGAACAGCATGATTTCAATTTTATCGGAGAGTTCGTTCTCTACATCCTTCTTAATTCGGCGTAACATGAACGGCTTCAAGATCATATGCAACCTTGAAAGATGCTCTAAAAAGAAATATGTTACAACACGTATTTCCATATGGAAGGTTTGTATTGTTTTCATCGTTTCACATTCTTAAATCAACCTTTCCATGTACCAGTACCACAGAGGAGCATGCTTCCAATAAAATGTTGACTCTGGTGCATTATCCTCCATGTTATCGGTATCAGTATATGTTTAGGTAATTGGCAATAAAATATAACAAGTAGAAAGGTTTTTCTACTACTACTTTAGAATCCCGTCATACTTGCTTTATTTGTAACAACAGAATGTCGCCTAGTCTCTGCTACTGAAGTGGAATAATTTCATTCCAACTCTTGTGATGGAATGAGCACATGTAGCGACATCTATTATAGGACCTTCTAAATGACAAACTGTCAACATTTTAATTACACTTGAGCGGGCACAAATTAGTTTTGAATTTTTAAGTACCTGTAGCGTACATTTACCGAATGTGTACCAGTAATAAGTAGATGTACATTTTCGATTACTACAAATGCAACGCGAAAACCTTCTTTATTCATCAAGCAACTTTGACATTTTTTCGCATGCGCAGTGTATGGATCGGGCGTGGTCATTTAGACAAACGTCACTCAAATATGACACAGGGATCTGTTATACCAACCCACCACACACAGACCTATTAACATGTCGATTGTCTACCGCTAATTCTAGTTACAATTTTACAATATATTTTGCAACAATTTGTCGTAGTAGTAGAAAAAATTATGTCTATGACTTATAAGGAATAAGTATTCAACGCTCGTGGAACCGTCACACTCGCCTTCGGCTCGAGTGACGAACTTTCCACTCGCGCGAAATATACCCTATTCCTTACTCGTTATAGAATATACTATTTCGCCCTAAGCCGAGTAACTTCAGCGCATTTTCCATGAATGATCAATACTTCCCAAAAGGACATAGCTATGTGCGCTGTAATTTTCTTTACTAGAGGCATATATGGTTAAAATTTCAAAGAAATATCTCCATAAACAGAAAAGTTGGCGTTTCGCAGTTCGCGCATGAGCACATTTAATTTATGCGATGTTTGTTTTTACTAGAAGCGTTTATGGTTATAATAATAATAATAATATAATAATAATAATAATGTTTATTTAGTAAAAAACAATTTCACATTGTAATACATCGTCACAAACAATACATTTACGAGGTGGTCTTCACAAAATTAATCTTTAGAGATTTTCATAAGTAAAAAAATTGGCATTTTGCAGTCTGCGCATGCGTGGATTTGATTTTTACTATGTACGATATGTTTGCTTTTCCTAATGACATTTGTAGTTTTCGATTTTTACTACATGTGATATGTTTTTCTTTACTAGAAGCATCTATGGTAAACATTTCAAAGAAATATCTTGATAAATAAAAAAGTTGGCACTGACTGCCAGAGCTGTCACAAATCGTTTAAAAAACGATTTAAATCAAAGATGCATTTCATTTTAACAAATGATTTAGATCAAAGATACTTTTGTCAATAAGAAAGTACATATTTAAATAACAAATCATTTTGAGATTTAAATATTTTTTGATTTCAATGGTAATTTCTTTATAGCCAATTACTAGCTCCCCTAATTATTTTAGAGCAAAAGTCTAAATACATTTTTTTTAGAGAAAAAAATACTGCATCTGTTCATATGATTACTTATAGTTTTCCGTTTTTCAAAACCGTAGAAATCCACAAAAAAAATTGCATTTTATAAATCAGTGATGCTTTGGAATCTTTTAACAAACTAAAAGCGCATCGCATCTAAGTAATCGTTATTTGACGTCGAACGATTTTCATATGTAATTTTGTTTCAACTAACCGACGCAAGAAAAAGCGTCTATGGGGTAATGTTTTTTTAGAGAATGTAATGCTGCATCTCCATCGGATACTATTTGTTTATCATTTTCCGGAACCAAAGTACATAATCGAAGAAAAAGAAATTGATTTGAGGAAGAATTGTTCTTAAACTTATATTCGGATTTTCCGCTACGGCAGCCAACTTTGAATGTATTGTCGTTTTCCTGATGGTTTTGACGGACATTTTGAACGTTATTGCACTTGCAGTGATTTAGCACAGTTCCTGTTCTTGGAAACTTGCGCACAATTCTGTCTACTGTGGTAATGCTTGGAATCGGTCGATTGGGGTACTTCACAGTAAATAAGGACGTTACTTGACGGGCATAAAACAACTTTAACATTTCCTGTTTCTCTTCAGTTAATTAAATGATAAACAATTTTGATTCACTAATTTATAAACAAGTATAAATTTAATATAGGTACGTCAAAGGCAAATAATGAAAAGTTACGCTGTTTTTTTAGGCAATTCCAAGGCATATCTGATTTATTTTGTCGATTTCTACGGTTTTGAAAAACGGAAAATTATGTGTAATAGTATGAACAGATATTGACTATAAAGAAATTACCATTGAAATCCCTATGCTGCGTCGCGCTAGGCACCACTCTGTATAAACGTCTACCAAAATAGAACCCGGGTTAATTAGCTTAGAGAATTTGTTAGTATGTATTTAAATCGTCTCTAAAAGATTTAAATCACTCGGAAACGATTTAAATCATATTTTTAAGTTCAAAATCAAAGATAGTTTTCATGAAAATCTTAATTCAAAAATCATTTTCCTTAAAAAGATTTAGATCAAATGATTTAAATCGAAGTATTTCAATCATAAAAAAGATTTAAATCTTATTAAAACTGACAGCTCTGCTGACTGCGCATGCGCACATCTAATTTTTGCAATATCAGTTGTTTGTCTTTAACAGAAGCATCTGTGAATAAAATTTCAAAAAGATATCTCGATAAATAACCGTTGATATCTTTAATCTGATGTTTACAATATGCAAAACATTTGCTTACACTAAAAGCAACTTTGGTTAAAATTTCAAAGAAATATCTCCATAAATAAGAAAGTTGCCATTGGGCAGTATGCGCATGCGCACATCTGCTTTTTACTATATGCGATATGTTTGCCTTCACCAGAAATGTCTGTGGTTAAAATTTCAACCAAATATAAGAATGAATAAGAAAGTCGCCATTGCGCAGTCTGCGCATGCGCACAACTGATTATACAGTGTGTTCGAAATAAGAAGGTCGCCTCAATATCTCTTTTATTTGGCGAAATTGTAGTATGACATTACAATCTATGTGATTGGATCGGAAACTTCCGGTATCAATTCCGGTTTAACAAGAATTGGAGGCAACTTTTGTTTTTCAAGTGCAATGCCTATGTTTTTTTAAGATATTTAAAAAGGGTAATCAATTTGTAGACAATAGCAGACACCGCGCATCATGACAGCACATGGCATGCTAGTTTTCTAATTATTGAATTATGAATATTATTCCTACTATGTTTCTGTTGCACAGGAGTGATAAAAAATATATTTGAGCTTCTTACATATGTAGAACAAAAAGATACAAAAGTTTTACTTGGCACCACACCACCAATTTACCAAACTATCAATTTACGGAACATTTTGACCTTTGAAAGCCTCTGCACTCCCTGGATTATGAACACCTTCAGGAGCTGATGTCGCAGGATCACTGACAAAGGTAAACAAAATAAATTGGTGGAATTGTTTTAATTCTGCAAGTAATACACTGCTAGAAGCTTTGGCTCAATTGGGGGCTGAAGATGTTAGGAACTTATAACTTGGAAGCGTTTGTCAGTTTTATATCCCCCACTGATCGACATAAGAGCGGTACAATGGTTGTTTACACAGAAACAATATAAAGATGAGAACTTTTCTCTAACAAAACCTACACTGAATCCAGCATTGCTAAGGGTTCACCTTCAGTTATTATCAGGACCCATTTCAGCATCCCGATAATACATATAAACCTGTTGCTTATACCATGGAGGAAATACAATAAGAGTTCCAGGCACTTATTAATTTGTGACCACCTTTCACACACCTCACAAGTAGATGGGGATGTAAGCGTGGGAAAATTTTCTTTTAGCGCCATCTGTTGTGTAGAACAGATCACTAAATTGGGTAGCAGAATTAGCGCGCTTATGAACCACTCAAAGCCATGACTTCACGAATTCATTTATAATGTCTGACCTTGAATTGATAAATTTACGTACAATCTCTGTAAATAAAACAAAGAATTTTTGAGTTTTCTTTTATGCCCAATCTTTCAAGAGGATAAATTCCGTAAAAAGAAAAACATTGATTGCACTCTGTTGAATAATTAATTGCAATTCTATATCACTGGATTTGTATTTCGTCCAAGTTGAGTGTTAAGTAAAACCATAGGAAAATCATTGAACTCGCTTAATGCTTATGGAAGAAAGAGCAACATGACCCCTGCTCGCCGCGTTGGTGAAAATCACCGAAATGTATGTGCCTCGGTATGTGCTGTACAGGGTGTCCCATTAATAATGGTCACAGGCCATATCCATGGAACTGTTAATTGCACAGCTTCGGGAAAAAAATTTTGTTAACAAAAGGGGTCAAGATAAATCGCTGGAAATTATTTTCAAGTTTCTAGCTTCGCCGTCAGAGGGCGTACGATTCATGGTTAAGTAGAAAAATGACTTTTTTTCTAAAATATTCCCAACGAACATGCTTAAAAAATACATGCATAGCAATCTAGCACATAAAATATGACGGGTAGGAGAAGGGGAACATCTATTTAAGAAATCGAATGTAACTTCGGTTTAGGTTAACCGATTTTCACATAATAGGTCTTGTTGGAAAGAGCTGTCTTCGTGGAATCAGATTTTACATTAATAGAGTCTTTTTAGTAAATGTGATGAGTGGTAGAGAGCGCGATGTGACATTAACATAAACTTTGCAGGTTTTTTTGCAAATTTCAAATGGAACGACATAATTATATGATCAGTGAAAACCGCATTTTGATATCTGTTTCCTAGAGATATTGCGAAAATACGAATATTCACAAATGTTAATTGCAATATTTATGCTAATCCAAATTGGCTTTGAAACAAAAGAAACACAATACCACGTAAAAAACTGTCAAAGTTTATCACAACCTGTCGCATCCTTTCATTAAACGTATTCGTGCGAATTATCACCAGCCCATTTCAAATTTAGTGGCATACGACATGCTTGCCATTTATTTCGAGTGTCATCAAAATGCAATGGTTGCATCAAGAGTATATGCTGTAAGGTATCCTGAAAGAGGAAATAACCTCTGGTGTCTGATGCTGTATAATTGAAGGGAAAATTATTGGTCCCTATTTATTTAATGAAACCCTTAATGGTGAGGTGTATGTAAATTTTCTGAGGAATGAATTACCGACTCTGCTTGAAGATGTAACATTGGAAACCAGGCGCGAACTATGTATTTTCAACACAATGGGTGCCCAGCACATTTCTGGGTAAATGTGTGAGAGTACTTGAATTTGTATTATCCTGGTAAATGGATAGGAAGAGGAAGTATTTTTCCATGGCCAGCTAGGTCACCCGACCTTACTTGCTTAGACTTCTATTTGTGGGGAAGGATAAAAGACCTAGTCCTTCAAACAAGGCCAACTACAAGAGACGACATGGTGGAGATGCAATTCATAGCATATCTATGGCTGAAATTGAAGCAGCTGTTTTCTCTACTCAGCTGGCAGAGACTTCGTCTTTGTATCGAAAATGATGGCAGACAGTTTGAACATCTACGTTAATTATAATTACTATTTCTTATTTAATTCGTATTTGACATAATTATGTGTTGCTATGTGTTCATTTATTTCAAAACCAACTTAGATGAATATAAATATTGCAATTAAAATTTGTGAATGTTCGTATTTTCGCCATCTTTAGGAAGCAGATATCAAAATGCGGTTTTCACTGATATTTTCACTGTTTCATCTTACTTGATAATATCATATAATAATTATATCGTTCCATTTGAAATTTTCAAAAAAACTTGTAAAGTTTATGTTAATGTCACATTGCGCCCTCTACCACTCACCACATTTACTAAAAAAAACTCTATTAATGTAAAATCTGATTCCACGAACACAGCTTTCCAACAAGACCTATTATGTGAAAATCGGTTAACCTAAACCGAAGTTACATTTGATTTCTTAAATAGATGTTCCCCTTCTCCTACCCCTCATATTTTATGAGCTAGAGCAATATGTGCTGCATCAAAATTATGCAAAATTGATACAAGATTGCTATGCATGTATTTTTTATGCATGTTTGTCGGGTATATTTTAGAAAAAAAATGACTCATTTTTCTACTTAACCATGACTCGTACGCCCTCTAGCGGCGAAGCTAGAAACTTCAAAATAATTTCCAGCGACTTCTCTTGACCCCTTTTGTTAACAAAATTTTTTTCCCTAAGCTGTGCAATTAACGGTTCCATAGATATGGCATGTGACCATTATTAATGGGACACCCTGTACATACTGTCACTAGCGGCACATTATAGATAAGAGGTTTATTGATAGATCGTTTGCTCGTTGGAAATTTCAAACCAATGTTTAACTTTCTCGCGTACGACGCAATGCTAAATAATCTTCATGTCCGCTTATTCGCTTACCAATAACCTAACAAAGCCTATTTAGTTTTTTTGTAGAAATTAATGTGACCTATCCGTTCATACCATTGATTTCCATTTTCTAAATTCTGGCACTACGTAAAAGAAATATGACATGAGAAAAAAATCGTGTGAGATCGAAGGGACGACGCATCCGGAGTTTCTGAGTAGATTTTGCCGTTTACAAGGACCACCCTGTATAATAACGATTGGTTTGAGCTTCGTTACGCAGAAAAACGTAATTTTGAGAAGTTTCTGTGATGCCATGGAGACAAGGAGATACCGTAATTAATTAGTCCGCCTACACCCGCTGATGGAATTTTGGAATTATTTTTGTAACCACCGAAGGGTATTGTTCTGGAGAAGATGAAGGACAATTAACGTTTTTTGGTTTCAGCGCCGTTAATTGTTTATAAGCTGTTTATGTTCCCCGTAATAAGTAAAAGCAAGGATAGAACAAATTTTGAAGCGAGTTGTTTTGCTCGCTATCAGTTAGCGTCGTGTCTGCAAAATGTTAAATAACCGCCACCTGCTCTGAGTCCGAAAACTTGCAATTAACATACAGTTAATTAATGTAATGAGTTCATGAGCTTCCGTTGTGTCTTTTGAGTATGTATAATTAGCATGCACTAATTAAATAAAGGAGCGCCGGTTGAGACGATTGTGGTGTCAAACTTTGCGCGCTTAATTAAGGAATCGATTCCCAGATGTTCGGGAATTTTAGGACTAACAGGAGCCAAATAGATTAAAAATGGAATTGATTCGTTTTGATTTCGTATTGAATACGCTACGGTTTGGATTTTCCTTGTACCACTTCTACCAAATTGGGTTTCCTTTATAAGCGAAACGCTCAATTTTGGAAGGATCTTTTGCGTTCTACTTGCCGTAAGTAAGTCCGAAATATCTTTTGCATCTTTAGCGGTCCACCGACTGTACAAGATCTTTTTCTCATTTTTCATCTTTTGCGTTCTACATGCCAGACGTAAGTTTGATATTTTTGCCTGTTTCCAACCGCGATATAAATTTCCGAAAGTAAGCCGTTTTAGTGATTGTATAGGGGGGGAATTGTTTTTATCCGTTTTCCCAAATTTGCCTAATTACTTTTCTTCCGCTACGGAATTTGCCGGTAGGCCATATTTTGTTTTAGCGTTCCAGACATTACCGCCGCCATTTGCTGGACCTGACCGCCGAATACCTGGAATTATCATCTCTGATTAAGACTACTTCCGAGGCTACCGAAACCGACCCGTCCGTCCGTAATTACCGCCGACATCGTCCAGGCGCGAGATTATCGTCTGGTAGCGCCCGAGTCCGTCCGTTCCCTGTACCGCCGTTTTGACGTTTTGCCGCCGACTACCGCTTGAGAAATTACAATATACTTTGTATCAATATCTTTCATTAAATTACACTCGAACAATAACTCTACTAATTGGGTTTTAATTCCTCCAGCACCGGCTATGCGCGAGCAGCCAAAGTTCGTCGCAACGTGGTGCTTTTTCAGTTTTTGCCGAAGAAGATAGGAAAAAACTAAAAAATCACCAACGCTAGTAACTACCCTCGAGGATGGCGCCCGGATGTCGCTAACCCTACATCATGTAGCCGAGTTAATGATTTTGAACTTTCTGTCCGTCCGTCCATCTGTGGACACGATAGCTCACTAACGGTTCCAAATTTTCCAGTTCTGTTTTTACCAATAGGTCAAGAGACTAATTGATTAAATTTTGGTCAATATTCGTCAACCGGGAGTGACTTTATCGCTCGTTGTCTATATTGCTGCAGATTATTATGAGTAGAAAATGCTTATTAAAAACTGTTTTCTCTAGGACAAAGGGTTCCTGAGATATTCGCAAAAACTAAATTTTTTTTTCAATTTCAACACCCTGTATTTCAAGTCTTTGTGCATTTTAGAGGGTAGGATAATAGCAACTTTTTTTCAAATTTTTGGCCGAGCTATCACATCCTGAAGTCCTGCGCATATATTATGAAACACGCTGTATAGTACACGGATAGATACATAGAAATACTTCTTGTGTAATTTGACAGAGTAGATACCATTACACTCACTTTCATCAATTCCAGTTTTATTTTCCGCATGACTTTCGATATCCTTCGAGAACCACTCATTGAATTCCTCATGTGAATCGAAAAGTGTGGGCATGATGAAATGCAACAGCGCCCATAACTCGGCCATACTATTTTGTATCGGCGTACCACTCAAAAGCAGTCGATTTCTACAGCTGAAACCTAAAAGTGTTTTCCAACGCATACTGAAAAAATTAAAACTTTAGCGAGCGAAATTTGTCAACTTGTACATAATGCACCTGCTGGTACTTTTTATTGCTTGCGCCTCATCCAAAATCATATACTGCCATTTAATTCGGTTAAAATATTTAATATCGGTGATAACTATTTGATAACTTGTCACGACGATATGGAAACTGGCCTGTTTCGTATGCATATCCCTATGATCCCAAAATTGACGTAAAATCTTCCGCTCCTAAACTCAAAGGAGGTATGTAAGAAATCAACACATAGATAGTACGTACATTTGGATTTCCCCAGTACGGGACAACTTTAAAATCTGGCACAAACTTTGCAATCTCCTGCTGCCAATTGTGCAAAGTAGAAGCTGGAGAGATGATCAAAAACGGTCCCCAAACAGCTAAAAAGATTGGTTTAATGTATTAACACCAAAAAAACTCACTTACAATACTTCTCCGCTATATGGCACAGAAACGCAATACTTTGCACAGTCTTTCCCAGACCCATCTCATCGGCTAAAATCCCACTAATACCTTGATCGTATAAGTTGGCTAACCAATTCATGCCCCTTAATTGATAACCCTTAAGTGTACCACGAAATTCGTTAGGCTGCGGATGTTCTCCGTCCGTTGAGTCTAGCATCTTACAATCGATCAACGAGTTGGCTTGCATATCAAAATGCTTCGTTCGCGCTCTCTCACTTAAAAACGCCTCTTCCGCATTTTTCTTAGCTTTCGCCTTCATAAACTCGCAATCATAATCGTCAATGTTAGATAAACGCGGATTCTTCTCTTCGTCTAGCTGGCTGAGGATGCGTAGCTGCTCCTCTGGCGAACCCGTTCCTAATTTCTTCGACATAAAATGAGCGTACAATTCCGTTTGAGTAATCAAGAAGTTAAGTTTTCTCTGCTGACGTTTGGCTTCGACAAATTCAAAGTCTATTTTACGCTGTTCCTCCGCTTCTTTTTCTAACTTTCTTCTGATTTCCCTATCAACCCGCTTAGACCTCTTCCAATATGCTAAATTCTCCCTCACCAGTCGCTTCATACGCCATTGCTGTTCTTTAACGACACGTGCAGATTGTAGCTAAAAGTTTTAACTTGAAATAGTAGCACTTAATACGCATACGTATACATACCGCCTTTTGACGGACGACTTTCTGACATTGTAAAGCGATTCGCTTACATTGCATCAGCATTTCTTTGTGTTTATTAATTTTTGCTCGGTGTTGTTTACTGAGTTCCTTTTTAACAATGCTAGTAAACACCTTTTTACGTTTTACTGTCATGGTATCCTCCCACTTTCGTTTTGATTCCTCATCCTTAAACTTGCGAGCTTTCTTCTTATTAGTAAGTCCGGAAGGTCCAGGCTGTACCATGTGATTTCTCATTTCAGAGTGAACGTTGGCGTCTTCGTCCTGCATGTGACCATCCATATCCATTTGCAATCCCAGACAACCTTCATTCTAAAAATTAGGGATGAAAACACGGCGACAACTGTTCCACTGTACCGAATTCTCGTCGACGACATCTGAAAAGATCATGCAATGCGAAGACTTGGCCGTTTCCTCTTTGATCACTTTCTTCCTTGCTGGTTTGGGTCGCACCTTTTTTATTTCGGGATATTTATCACAGCTGGATAGCAGGCCGACGCTATAATACATGTTTTGGGATATTTTCTGCAAAATCAATTAACTGTAAATACTTGTCATGTGTAAATAGTGATAATAGGCAATTCATACAGGGTCTGTTGAGGCTTTGTATATTTATTAGAAGTAGGCCAACGGATTCAAAAGCGAGCTCCAAGAAAGTGGTGATACGTAACGGTATTATGTTCAAGTAAAACGGATTCATTGAAGGTTTATACCTAAACTAAATGAAATTCACTGTAGATAACTATAGGTACTTTTAATGAGCTTGTTTCAAGAGACTTCCAAATGACAAAGATAATTCACTACTTTATAACGCCAAGTATGCATTATTCCGAGGGGTCATCCACCACGCAAAATACTGTACACCAAATGCCAATTTGGCAGATTATTGCCAATAATCTTTGTACTGCGCCTTAATGCTTTTATAACGCTTGATCACTGCCTTGTAATTCCTGTAATGCTTGGTTACTGTCGATGGGTCCGATATGTAATATGTTTAGGAGTAGACCTCGGAGTAGACTACATGCAAGAAATTGAGAATTCCACACTTTATGACAAAGTTCTGGAATTTTTATGGCGGATATTGTATACTTACTACATTAGCAAGAGCCCGTTCTCGCAGAACTTTATTATAATAAACGCCTTATGAAACATTTCCGACCCACTCAGACTTTTGTTGGCATTTTTAGATGTGGAATCTTCCCCTTTTGACTTGCCTCAACATGTGGATTTAAGGCTCCTCTGTAGCCAATTTGTATTTCAGTGTTATTGCAATTGGTTAGACCACCAACAATACACACTTTCTTTTCATCATTGCAAGGAATATCCACTATCGAGAATTTGTTAGACTTCAACTACAAAAGCGGCATTTCATAAAAAAGTTTAGCTATTTTTCCAATATGGCGGATTGACTACAGAGGAGCCTTAAACATATGCCATATACATGTGATATAAAAACTTCAGAATTTTTGAATGCAAAATCTATATCTCAGCATCCGCTCTACCGTGCTCTACTATTATAATGCTTTTTCCGAGGCTTTCTCGATATCTATTGAACTAAGTAATTCTATGAGTTGATACCGGAGTTAATACAGTAAAATAAGGAAGAAGTAGAAATAGTTTTTGGAAAAATATTAGGGTGTATATACAGGCTGATTCAAATTCGAGGGCCACCATGGGGATCTCGGGAACTGTAAGAGATAGCGTATTTTGATACTTAACAAAATGCAGTTTTGAAACTGAAAAAATTCCTACTACTTTCGGAGATATCCGGAAAAAAAACGAAATTTTGCCGAAAAGATGCCACTTTTAAATTTTAATTTTGACGTTTCGTCTAAAGTCAACCAACATCAACTTTGTTTTTTCTTGTGGAAATCATTTTTACTTTTTGTCATTTGATAGAGAATTTTTTTTCTGATTTCAAAAATGTAAACATCACTTTTAATCAGAAAAAAATTCTCCATCAAATGACACAAAAAGTAAAAATTACTTCCATAAGAAAAAAACAAAGTTGATGATGGTTAATCGGAAACTAGCATCTTGCAGAGGGAAAAAAGTGGAGATACTAATGTTACTTATTTTGAAAAAAATTTTTTAATAACTTCAGTAAAAAATAAAAACGATTTTGCAAAATTTCGTTTTTTCCGGATATCTCCAAAAGTCGTAGAAATTTTTTCAGTTTCAAAACCGCATTTTGTTAAGCATCAAACCACGCAACTTTGCCAAATTTAAACTACCTATCTATCTCTTACAGTTCTCGAGATCCACATGGTGGCCCTCGAATTTGAATCAGCCCGTATCTCGGCCTGTACAGGGTGTTTTTTTGGGAGCTTTCGTTAAACGTTCCTGGGAAAGTAAAATAGGTAGGTTTTTGAAAATTTGTACTTAGGAGTTACTCTGAAGGCCGAATCGATGTAAAATATTTTCAAAATGGCCGCACTTCCGGGAACACCGGAAGTAGATCTTCGTTATTTTAAATAGCAACCCCCATTTTTTATTGGATTTTTAGATTCTACTTGAAATTTCAGTTCTTTTGATACCCATATGTCGATATCTGGCGTTTATGGTTTTTAAGTTATTTTGACTTTAAGAAAAAAATGGCGGATTCAGATGGTACCTTGATAATTGATTACTTGAAAACGGTTGTAGTCATGGCAAACCTATTTTTATCAGTGCATAGAGAATAAATAGGGCTTTCTTTTAGTGTACTTAAAAAAAAAGTTAAGTTGCGTACAACCGCACCTATGGAGATCCAAATTTAAGAAACTTCAAAGACTATAAACCCAGTTTTTTTAAATGGAATGACCATGTTCTTACTATTGCATGAGATAGAGAATCGAAATTGGCATATTTTGATATTACGTGTTCCTATAGCTATCTCAAACAGTTTCGGATTTATTCCCATTTCATTGAATTGATCTCGGAATTGATGCCATTTTTTTCGCATTTTCTTTTTTAGTAGTTGGTCATGATTTTATAACAATCGAATTTTAAACAAATCAAGGAATGGATTCTTTAATATCATTGATTCTAGTCCTAAATAATTCATTAATAAATAAGTCATTTATTAAAGATATAGGAGGGAAAACTGATTCAGAGGGGTAATGCGATATCTGTTCTGGCAACAATTCCATACCAAAAATGTTTCAACGAACTTTTTTACATTTTGCATTGAATTTATTTTGTTAATCTTGCATTTGCAATTTAATTCATTTTCTTAAATATTCTCTTGTAGAGCATTGTATCACTTGTGCTTCAACGGTTTGTAGTGCATTTGGGGGTACAACATTTCGTGAATTAATTTGAATTAACGTAATTAATTTGAATTAACGTAATTAATTTGAATTATTGTGAATGAATTTGAAGTAACGTGAATTAATTTGAATTAACGTGCATTAATTTGAATTAGCGTGAATTAATTAGAAATAACCGGAATTAATATGAATTTACGTGAATTATTTTGAATTAACGTGAATTCATTTGAATGTGAGTACTTGTTTCCCCACTGGGGTCAAAGGGCATGCTGGAACGGTAGGTAATGAGAAAGCCAATGAGTTAGCCTGTCTGGGCTCAAAACAGGTGTTTTATGGCCATAAGTTATTTTTTGAAATTTTACAAAAAAATATTTTTAAAAAGTTAAAATGTTTATTATTTTGATGTTCAAAAATGTGGAAAAATTGGAACATTTTTGGAAAAACTTTCCCAAATTTTGGCATATGGCGGAATTCAGCTTTAAAACACACAGTGTGGGTAAAGATAAAAAAACTATTTTTTGAAAGTAGTATTAATTATTTTCAGTAATTTTGGGAACAGAAAAAAGTTTCAAATAAAAGTTTTAGTATTTTATATGTACCAAATAAAAATGTAATTAATTGATTTAATTCATTATACAAGGAGTACCCAGCAACATATGTTTTCAATATCTTTAATGTATATTAAAGATGGTTTTTGGTTAAAAAAATAAAAATCGTTTTACTTCAGGATCAATTTCGTAAAAATAAGCGAAAACCATGCTTCGGACAAAGAAAAACCAGAAAATCAAATTTGCTCAAAAATGAATGAGGATTTAAAAAATAATGTTTATTTTAAGAGGAAGCAGTGGCGTAGTACTCAAAAAATTTTCAATGCAAAAGCCGTACAGACGCTACTGGTAGAGAAAATTATGAAATGATGCATAGAAGACATGTACCAAATTTCATAAAGATTTCTACAATATTATCTCTGTTATTATTAAAAAAACTGATTTTTTTTTAAAACTTTACCACCTTGAATCTCAAACATTAAAACGCTTAGGACATACGTTCATAGGAAGTTTTTTTTCTTAAAATGTTTCCAAAAATCACCTCCTTAAAATATATTAGCATGTTTTTAAGGAACACCTGTATGTAAGTATGGACTTAATTTGTCATGTGACAATTAAGTGAATAACCAAACCTATGTCTATTATTACCTGTGTAGACAGAAGCACCTTCTTCCGTTCCATATTCATCTTTTGCATATGAATGTAATTGTCCACGCAAATATCCTGATCGCCTTCCTGAAGCACGTTCATTAGCCATGTCCTTTGCGAATTGTTTGGGTTGTAATTAAAAAAATCTTGCAGTTCCACTTCATTTTGACCTAAAGCAATAAAATTTGTTGAAGAACTGTTTCATCAGCAAGAACAAAGAACTGAGAAGTTTCTCACTTCTTCAAATTTTCAATTTTGAACTTGTGTTTATGTGACTATCCACAACAAAGCACATAAGAGCTGGGTTATAGCGCGCACTGACTGTTTGAGTACATATTTTTGCCACAACTTTCAAAGTTTTTAGGCTTATGGTCTTAGCTAGCCACTTGCTAGTTCTGCAAATAGGTTTACTATTTGTATTCAGATTAGAAATATTGAAGTTTTCAGGAGAAATGTGTACGACTATTTGAATTTAAGTGCTCGAAACTTCACATTTTGTGAAGAATTTACACAATTCGGTAATCTTTTCAAACTTCAAAAGATAACTTAAAATCAGCTATAAAGACATATAACATTGTTTAAAGACTTATGGTGTAGTGTACAAGGACTTTAGCATTCCTAAAAAATCACACGTCCCTCGTACACTACCCATCACATCAAAATGTCAATGTCAGTAGTAAGTTGAATTAGAGTAGGGCTCTTGGGCCTATTATGGTAGGGATGCTTAAATATGTCCCAAAATGTATATACAGGTCAAATGTAAAATTTCAACCCTCTACAACAGCCACGTATAATGGTAGTTGTATAAGAGTGAGTTTTTTTTCAACCACCCCTTGTACGTGGCCGCAGGGGGTTGAAATTTTACATTTGACATGTTTGAGGGGTGCGACATATCTGAGCATCCCTACCATCGTAGACCCAAGAGCCCTACTCTAACCGTACGCTCACCCTCATCGTATTGTTCTTGATCGACTTCAACAGTTTCTTCATCTACAATAACCTCATCATCTTCGTCCTCCGTCGTATCCGAATCGACGTCCCTATTTTGATCCCAAATCTCTCTAAGGAACGTTAGATTGGTCGCATTCTCGATTCGCTGCAGGTGTATTGGTTTCGAGCATCCGGGAGTTGCCAATTGTGTGTCGGTCTCCGTTTCCATTATAAGGATAAAAACAATCCTTTAAAACAATACTGGAAAATATATACAATCGGCAAAATGGTAAGGAGACTGGCTCAATGTTCTGCGGAAAGCGTTCGATAATTTTCACTTAAAACTATACCACTTACTGCTTGTTTTGATTATTCATAGTTTAATTAGAGATACCATAATAAAGCATAATTGTCAATTTAAGAAAGTTAGGTTATATTTTAAAAACTTGACAAAGAAGGAAACTGTAACAATTAACAAAGAGTGCATTCGCTTGTGCAAGTGATAGTCGCATACAAGGTGCGTCAATGCCCAACGCATTCGATTATATTATATAAAATCATGATACTTATATGTAGTATGGTTGTAGCCGGCCGTCTGCTGCCGTCATGTGGGCACCGAAATTTTAAAATGAGAGTACAATTGAATAAAATGTTTCAATTTGTGCCAATACGAGATTCAAATTATTTTTTGAGACTGGCGTTATCTACCCTCAATGTCGGGGCACTTATTGTATGCAAAAAACTTTGATTACTTCAAATCGCTATAATTTTTGGTGCAAATTTTTAATTAATTTGTGGTTATGTTTCGATTAAATAGTCTTCGCTGAACGCGACTATCCCAGGGATGAGAATAATATTGTGTAGTGCACTTAACCCTTAGATTCTACGTAAACATAGACATACGATATACAATTCGACATATGGAAGTACCGATTGTTTAAGGGTCTTCCTTAGTGTTATCCTTATCCAACTGACAAAACATTCATTTTTTGAGCGGTCTTAAAGAAAATTTTATCAATAGCAAAAATTACGCAATCCGTCGGAAATCGAGAATGTCATTGAAAATAACTTATCTGCGCACAATAGTTGGGTGAACGACTGAATGCACTCTATTTGTAGTCTATTTGCCGAGTTCAGGGTCAAAGATATCAACTTCGCACTAATTTCCTCTTTGCAATTTATTTTTTGAATTTGAGAGTCACAAAAATGTTTGACTTACGTTTTTACGGCTTCACTTATATAGTTTGAATTGAAATTAGAGTAGTTCCATGTCATTTCTTTTTCGCACAGAAATCACACCCGGAGTGAAACTTGATCGCGCGCGCTTCTACGCAAAAATTTCCGTGAGTCCCTCATGATCCAGATCATTAAACTGAATTGGACCCTGAACGGGAAAAATGTTCCCTGGCTTACCTGGGCATCGATTCCCGAAGTTAGTCGGTATGCTCCGTGATGTGCATGTGATGTGACCGGCTGCCATGACGTCATGATCGTATACGATAGGGATAAGTTCAAGTTAGCGCATTCCCGAATCGTGGACAAACTTTATGCGCTAACCAATCACAGACAAGAATTGAACTGTCATTTGTCAGTTTTGTATTTTGTTTTGTTTTTGCATTATGGATACTGCTATTAATAACCAGAAAATCCTCGAACAATTCTATGTTTTATTTCACAGAAAATATGTGAATTTATAGGTTAGGGCACTGAATAACCTCTATAGCAAAACAGCTGCAAGATCCGTCCTGTAGCTGCAACTGCGCATGACTTTCACGCAACGAGTGGTCTAGACCAGTCGTTGCGTTCGATCAACTTTTCGCTCGATGTGGTAGATTCGAGAATGCAGTGGCATTGACGTTCACATCAAGGTCAGTCGATGTGAACAAAACACATCTTCGGGAATCGACGCCCTGAATTTTTTCTCTTGCAGTTTGACGCGGACGCTATTGCGGTTTACAATTTCATTTTCCAGCTGCGTGAACTTTTTTTACCAACTCCGCGCACATTTTTTCGGACGATTGGACTTCAGCCCTTTTTTAAGCAATCGGTGCAAAAGCGATCAATTCTTGACGCGTATTTTTCTACGGTGTCACCCGGGTTTTCATCTTTTTCACGGTGTGAATCGGTTCTTTTTCGAACGACCTAATTCCTACCACCTTCATCTTTGAACAGCCAAATTTTGAAGAAACCTGAGACCGTCCTGTATATATAAATTCAACCCTACACTTAATTTGGAAGAATCTATCCTTAAAACCATTTCAGCTACTAAACTTAATTTAAAATCATATATAATGAGAGACCCTAATTAAATGTACCGTTACACGTACATTGTATGGGGCAGTACTGATACTGAAAGAGGTAAGTCGCTATTAGACTACTTAGTCTTTAAGAATCTACAAATAGCCAATAAGAGTAATAACATAACCATCACTGACGTTAGAATGGCGGCATGTGACATAATTGCGTACGTGTGTCGAAAAAGATATCTTGCTTTGTTTGATCACACGTATATATTATAACTTTAAATCCTGACCTGAACAACTATCCTCGATAACATTTTGAAAAATTATGGTAAATTTTATGTTTTGGCCTGCCCGTGATACGGTTTGACATGAAGCAATTCTAACTGCATATAAAATGTTATCGAACCAAGCTATTTAAATTTTGATTGTGCAGCTCAATTCTCATTCGTTGCACATTTAGTGGACTACACTGTATATGATAAACAGACAATAGGTACGGTATCCACCATGCATGCAGTACAAATGACGTGACATGAAAAAAGTGAACGCCTTTATCGGCTTTCGTGATACCGCTTATCGTGAGACCGTAACATGACCGGCCTGAGCGCTGCCGGTTTCTTGTGTAATGTTTAACACGGTCTTCTTTAACACAAATTACATTCGCGATCTGTAAATAGTTTTTAATTTCATTTTTTTCTTTCTTACGAAATTTCTAGTACATCCAGTATTACATCTGCACCAAAATATCGACTAAATCTTCCATTAGGTACGTAAAATTTAAATCAGCGATTAGTGGGTCTGTCAAAATCTTATATAGGGGGAGGGTCCATTATGACCTTTTAATGGTAAGAGGGTTAATTTAAGACTTTTGTCAATTAAATTCATTATCTATTACAGATTTAGGCATCGAACAATAAGAACGGCTTGCCAAAATGCCGGCTGTTCGTGGGGATGGCATGCGGGGCCTTGCCGTGTTTATCTCCGACATACGAAATTGTAAGCGGTATTTGATAGCCAACACATTATCCTCATCATCTTTATCTTAGGTAAAAGTAAGGAGGCTGAAATCAAACGAATTAACAAAGAATTAGCTAATATACGTAGTAAGTTCAAAGGAGATAAAACGTTGGACGGATACCAGAAGAAAAAGTATGTTTGTAAATTATTGTTTATATTTCTGCTCGGACATGACATTGATTTCGGTCACATGGAAGCCGTCAATCTCTTATCTTCGAATAAATACTCAGAAAAACAAATCGTAAGTAAATTGTCTTCGGATGATTTAATAACCTCTCTCTCGATTTAGGGTTATTTATTTATCTCTGTACTAGTAAATACCAATAGCGAACTGATCAAATTAATAATACAGAGCATTAAAAACGATTTGGCCTCAAGAAATCCCATACACGTTAATTTAGCATTGCAGTGTATCGCTAACATTGGAAGTAGGGAAATGGCCGAAGCTTTCGGGAATGAAATTCCGAAATTATTGGTTTCCGGGTAAACTTTCAACTTGTTCTAACTTTATTTTTATATCGTACCCTAATAGCGATACTATGGACGTAGTCAAACAAAGTGCGGCGCTTTGTTTATTGAGACTATTCCGTACTTGTCCGGAAATTATACCGGGAGGTGAGTGGACGTCGAGAATAATTCATTTGTTAAATGACCAACACATGGGAGTCGTCACCGCTGCTACTAGTCTTATAGATGCTTTAGTAAAAAAGAATCCGGAGGAGTACAAGGGGTGTGTTTCTTTAGCGGTATCTCGTTTAAGTCGAGTAAGTAGCCGCGTGCCATCCCGAATTTTTAAGCTGATATCATTTTCCAGATTGTGACAGCTAGCTATACGGACTTGCAAGACTACACTTATTATTTCGTTCCTGCACCTTGGCTTTCGGTTAAGCTGTTGAGACTCCTACAGAATTACACACCTCCAGGTGAGACGGTTATTACCAAATTCTTCCTTTTATTGAAATTTTACACGCCTAAAAGTGTCTCATTGAATAGCTGCGCTTTTAATAAACCGATACAATGAAATATCGAAGGATTCTCAGTATTACCATGACTTTTTTTTAAGATAATGCTCTTATCTTAATGCCCATCACATGAATTTGATGCATTTTTGGTCACTATATGTATTTTGTAAGATTAAAATAGTGATGGTAATATTGAGGATCCTTCGGCCTTTTTCCCAACGATCTCGGTGTAAGAATAATGATTTTGACATGTTTTGATCAAAGCCACATGGCCTCAGAAAAAGAATTGAACATCTTTGAATCACACGCTGTTATCAAATGTGCATGTGATGTACTCTTTCAGCATCAAGATAATGCGTTTGAATGCTTTTACAACTCCAAATTCATGTATAAAGTAGGTATAATTTTGGCTACATTTTGCTCTAAAACTTTCGACCTAGACCGCAGAAAAGAGTTATATTGAATTTTTAGCGCATTTTTTAAGAATTAAAAAAAATGTCCCAAATTATATAATTTTATAAATAATATTAATTAAATTAAAATATATTAAAAAAATGTGCCAAATTCTTGACAGAAAAGCTTCCTAGCGTTCTTCACCGTTTAACGTGATCGCACGCTTGTTTTTTACTTTTGTTTTTTAACTTTGACATTTTTTTACCAGTTTTTTTGTAATAACACCTGGCACAATATTTGTAGGTTGTACACAGAAAAATAAGGTCTTTCCAATAACTTAATAAAAATTTTAGGTTGCTATTTGAAAAAAAAAGTTCGATGCCGTTGAGGCGCTCCAAAATTTTTTTTCAAAAATTTGGCTCGTTATTTTTCGTTTCAGTTTGGCTAATATACAAATCCAAAATTTGAACAAAATCCGTCGAGCCGTTACCTCGAAAATTGCCAACGTACGTACATACATACAGACGGAAAAAATTTTATTCTTTAAAAGTTGCTTAAAATGATCTAAAACGGTGATCGCAATAGCCACCTAGGTGGCGCTAGGACCTAAAAACACACATTAAGGAAATATAGGAATAGTATGTAATTCACACTTACCAAAATAGCTAATGATGCCACAATAGTCAACGCTATCCAAAAAAAACCAGGTGTCAAATTCTTGACAAGAATAGCTTCCTAGCTGAAACCAAAAATTGCCAACATATGTACGCACTTACAGACGGGAAAAATTTATTCTTTAAAAGTTGCTTAAAATGATCTAAAACGTCAACATTTGATGAAATTTTGAAATGTTCAAAAAACAGCTATCGCAATAGCTATGTTCCATAAATAAGAAAATGACATTTCTGCGCATGCGCAACACGATTTTTGCGCATGAATTTTGTTTGCTTTTATTAAAGGGACTTACCATAGAAATTTCGTTTAAATTGCTTCTTTACAAGATCGTTGAGTTTTGCACATATGCAACACAATTTTTTGACTTTGACAATTTTTTTCTCCATTTTTTGATAATATAACCCGGCCCAATTTTTTGTAGGTTGTACACAGGAAAATAAGGTCTTCCAAATAATAGAATAAAAATTTTTGGTTGCTATTTGAAAAAAAAAAGTTCGATGCCGTTACGGCGCTCCAAAATTTCTTTTCAAAAATCCGGCCCGTTATTTTTCTGTTCGGTATGCCTAAAACATATATACAAAATTTCAACAAAATCCGTCGAGCCGTTTTCTCAGAAAATTGCCAACAAACGTACGTACGTACATACAGACGGAAAAAAATTTTATTCTTTAAAACTTGCTTAAAATGGTCTAAAACGTCGACATTTGATGAAATTTTGAAATGTTCAAAAAACGGCTATCGCAATAGCTACCTAGCACATGCTAGGAAGCTAAAAAAATGGGTTGAATACGAGTGGGTTGTGATAACGTGATGTGTTTGTGAGAAGAAAGAGTTTTGTGTTTTTTAGCGCATTTCCACAAAAATTAAAAAATGCGCTATTGTGGCCATTTTGTCCGTCCGCTCGTTCGTTGAGACGCTACTAGTTCTTTATCTTAAGAGCTATTGTTCTACTTTTTTCGCTATTTGGTTCGTTATGGTGTCGAGACTTGCACCAAGGAAGGAATTTTTTCTGCGTTTATTGCTAAAAAAGTTATTGTAAAAAAACCAGCAAACCGTTTGTACATGTTCCATAATTTTACACTTTTGCCGTTTATTAACGATCTTAGAGATCGTTGATCTTAGAGATCGTTTATAATTTTGTCTTGCTGTCTGTCGTCTGTCTGTTGGTCTGTCCGTCTGTTCCTTTGTCTGTCTGTCCCTCTATAGTTCGTTTCACCAATAATTTAACATTTCTCATTAGGCCGTTAAGTAGCGGGAATTTCCACTGCGACATTTAAAACAATAGGATAATAGCCCCCAAAGTCAGCGGTTCTCAATAAAATTTTAATGTTGCAAACGCCAAATTGTAATTGGGAAAACTACTTGGAATGTGTCTACCTATTTAATTAATACATTAATATGGTATCAACACGATTATTGTCGTTAATGTCCTATGGACGCATTCCATAAGGAACTACCTCGGGAACTACATTTTAAATATATCGATTATTAAGGAAATGGGCCGCTTTATACGAGCACTACAATTTGGCGTTTGAAACATTAAACTTTTATTGAGAACCGCTGACTTTTAGTTAAATGGTTATAGTTAAATCCTACTGTTTTAAATGTCGCAGTGGGAATTCCCTCTACTTAACGACCTAATGAGAAATGTTAAATTATTGATGAAGCGAACTATATCTGTCCGTGTGAACGATAACTTTGGTTAGAAATGTCCGATCGCTTTGACATCTCCGTTAGTTATGAACTAAATTGCATAAAATTCAATACGGGCATAGCAAGTACCAACTTTGTTATCTATGGAAGCATTTAATTGAAATTTGATACATAGGTGCTTGGAATAAAGGAAAATCTAACGTTAGTTCCAAATGTAGGTTTGCGCATGCGCAGTGGCAACTTTCTTATTTATGAATGCATTGAAATGAAATTCTTATAAACAGAAATTGAAGTAGCACGTCAAAAATGGATTGCACATATGCAACGCCTTCTTTCATATTTGTGGCCGGATTTTTACGATTTTAACAGAAGTTGCATCTTACAAATGGGAAATGAATGCAAGTGGAAATGAATACAAGTGGAAATGCGCTTTTTGTAAATCATTTACGATTACTTTTTTAACTTGTTTCTCTTCACTGGGTTTGGTTCACTGGGTTTGGCTGTAGGTAGTGTAGGTGGTATACTGGCGTGAGGGACTGCGTTATCACTAGGCAATGGGTGACATGTTGCACTGTGTTGCTAACGAATTGGGACCCGTCGCTGTATAACCATCATGGCATCCGATCACGGAGGAAAATTTTTGCGATGAGGATTTCTGGGCACGTTTTCCTGTCTGCTTGTACGAGGGCAAAGAGTTCTACCCATAGGGTGGCATCATCTTCCACTTTAAGAATCCATTTTTCTCTATCGCTCCTTCTCGGAGTGGGCCAAAAGGATCGACGGAGAATTTGCAATAATCCTGCTGGTTTTTGATTTGTCCTTTTATACCGTTGGCAGTCCTGGCAATTTTTAACATATTTCCCTACTTTTTTTTTATGCCGGTCCAATAATACATGGCGGCTATTGTTTGGTCGGCTCCATAATATTGGGCTGTGGGTAGGTCATGAAATTCGTGTAGTACTGCGGGACTACCAACGGCGCACAGTGGAACGGTTTAGTGTAAGGTCAGAGACATAGATGATGAAATTATGTTTACATTTTTACTATCTAACTTGCAGAAATATTTAGAAAAAAGACCATTTGTTATTACCTTATTATAATTTTTGGGATTTTATTATCCTCATTCGTAAAATATTTGCTACAAGTGCAGCTTATCACAAATTTCGATAATATTTATATGCACTGCCAATAAATAGTAAATATACAAAAACCGTCAAAGAACATTTTTGAAATCAGTGCATATTTTTAATTCATAATTACCAAATCTTGCTTAATATTTTTCAAACTGTTTGCTTGAACAAGTTGTTTGGTTTAGCAGAAATATGATAATAATAATAATGAACTAGGTAAAAACACAAACTACAAAGTTTTGGGAACTAGAACACTCGAGATTCGACAGGATTCGCTCTGCCATTAATATTAATATAATCAATATAGTGTATTAATTATGAAAAAAATGAAATTTATCTGCTACAATCTGCAATTAAGGTTGCTATGCAACCAAAAAGAGTTGAGTGTATACGTATGCAAAATGTTTTTAGCAGTTCATTACAGCAAAAGTATTCGAGTTGTCAAGTAGATTTTCTAATAAATTTAATATATCTGCGACAGAGAACTCGGTGCAAGCTTTAGGGGGGGTCCATACTATCTGTCGGTCTGTCTGTAAACACGGTAACTGACAAACTCTTGGACCGACTCCGTTGAAACTTTGCACAGACCTATATGTCACATGTAACACGCATCTATTGAAGATGAGTCAAGTCCAATGACCCCGTAGGGTCACACCTAGGGTTGCAATCCGTCCGGGTTTCCCCGGATTTGTCCTAGTTTAGGGAGCGTCCGGGCGGGCTTTCATTGGTAGTCTGGGTTTTAGGCTACTGACACATCTATGAGTGGGCGAATTCAATCAATCAATCAATCAATATCTTTATTATGTCCTAGTGATTTGAAGATTACATACATTCGTCATACACATAATTGAAAAATCAACAAATAAGTAAAAAACTAGAAATAATAATCTGGAATTACGGAGTTGACCTGGCAAAGAATTCATTTAAATTATAGTATGGGTTTTCTACCAGGTATCTCCTTATTGCTCTTTTAAACGGGTAATAAGGTAAGTGTTTAATGGTCTTTGGTAGGTAATTGTAGATCTTAATGGGCATGCAAAGGGGACTGTTAGTTGTTGTATTCAGTCTATGTTGTGGAACCCTAATTTGGTCAAACCGTGTATTGTAGGC